TAACCTTGACCTGAACTCTCTTTTGGCTCAGTTTTGTTTCTAAGTACGTATTTTATATTTGTTTTAATTGTGGTAAAATACATATAAAGTAGATTACCATTTTAACCAGTTCCAAAGTGTAAAATGCATTTCCATTGTCATATTACCATCTGTCTCCAGAACTTGGTCATCTTCCAAAACTGAAACTCTGTTCCCATTAGATAATAGCTCCCCATTGACCCTCTTCTCCCAGACCCCGGCAACCACCATTCTGTTTTCTGCCTGTGTGAATTTCCCTGCTCTAGACACCTCCTTTAAGTGGAATCATACAGAATTTGTCTTTGTCTGACTGGCTTAGTTCATTTAGCATAATGTTCTGAGGTTCATCCATGTCATAGCATGTGATAAGATTTCCTTTTTTCCTTTTTGAAGGCTTGATAATGTGCGTGTAGCCCTTCCAGCTTTTAACCACAGTCTCCCGGAGCCATTGGGCTCCTCTGGGCCTTAGTTTCTCCAAATCTCCAGGATGGGGGTGAGCTAGGTGATGTGCACAGCCTCTTCTCTCTCAGGCAGCCTCAGTCCTATGAGTTCATTTATTTCTCTTACCTCTGAGTATGGGTTTGCAGGCCAGGAGTATAGCTGTTAGTGGCTTTCAAGGGGTGTGACCAGGTGCAGGCCGTGGATCCAGGAGAAGGAAGGTCTGTCTTGCCCAAGGGGCAGTTCTTCTTCATCCTGCAGGTGACATAGTCATCACTGAGTCACAAACCATTTAACTCCCCCTTTGATGCTTACATTTGAACAAGGCCATGCTGGAGACCAAAACCAGCCTCAGAGGAGTTGACCCCACCCCTTTTGGGCTAGCCTGATGGGGCCGATGCCCAGGGCTGAGGCTGAGAGGACAGTGGTCCTTTCCAGGTCCTTGACAGCCCGTATTACAGTCAAGGTCCCCTATGACCTTCAGCACATAAGCAGCTCAGGCTCCTAGCACCTCGCAAATGTGCTGGTGGGGTCTAATCCCAGTCTGCCCTCTTTTTAACCTTCATTTAAAATTAAAGGCATATTTCTGAGTTTAAAAGAAGTTCATATTCATTGTTGAAAAATGAGAAAAATTCTAAGCAGACACAGAGGATAATCTTCAGTTTTCCCACTGCTGAGCGGGTTCACCGCTCTTTATATTTGGTCTTTTCACATGTATGCTCAGCTATGGGAGGGAGGCTTGGAGGGCGGGCACCCTCCCCTGTGGAGTGGCTCCCATGGCACAAGCACTGTTCCCAGCAAAGACTAACAACCCGCGGAGCCACGCCTGATGTCAGTGTGTGTCTGTGTCTGCGTGAGAGCCACTAGTGGAGAACAGTCAGGACTTAGGATGTGACCCAGTGCAACTCTCTGTTTACTGCTGTGGCTGTAAATGTCCCCAGACTTGAGGCCCACCTGTGATGCAGGGTTATGGCCCAGGCTCTCAGAATTCCCTTTGTGATTTGTCTCACACTCATCTTGGTATATGCTGCCTGCTATATTGGCCCCTCCATCAAAATTGAGGCAGGAAGTGACAGCTGCCTTTTACCCTCCTGTTACACTGCTGGAGAAAGGAAAGGCCACAGAAGGTTCTGTGCAATAAACTGTGCGAGCCTAGGCAGTTGCTCCTGGAGCCTCGCTTGCCCTCCCTGGAGAGTGCGTCTGAGTGATGCCCACCCCTCGGAGCGGCCAGAATGGTGATGCGAGGCCACAGTGGGAGCTGGTAAAGATGAGCCTCCTTTTGCCCGAAAAGGCTTGGAAAGGAAGAGAAAGATGCCCAAATGTGCTTGAGGGGAGAGGAAGGGGCCTGGCTTGCCCAGGGCAGCCTGACCTCAGGAAAGGAGGGTGGGATGACCCAGGGCTGCCCTCACTGAGGCTGCCCCATGAAGGCTGCCCCTGCAGTGGGCACTGTGGCCAGGTGCCCTGTCTGTCTCCTTCCTTCTCCCACAAATACTTCCCAAGGGCCTGGCCTGTTGCTGGTCCTGTGCTATGTACTGTGGACAGAGTAGTGAATGAGACAGAATTCTCATACCTGCCCCCTTGGGAATCTACAGTCTTGGGGTATGTTGTGGGGTGAGAGAGACAATAAACAAGTCAACAAGCCATTAACAATCTATCTACCCTTTGTTGCCAGTGCTGTGGAGATGTGAGCAAGGGCTGGAATGGAGCATAGCCAAGGACCCTGCTCTGGATGGGGGAATCCTGAAGGTCTCCCTGAGGTGGCCGTACTCAAATGGAGCCCTAAAGAGACAGGTGTGAGTGAGAAGAACTTCCCAAGGTGGAGGGAGGATCTCTTCACTCAAAGGCAGAGCCAGGCAAAGGGCCAAGGTGGGGAGGCAGGTGTCCCCTTCTGAGACAGAGAGACACAGGGTTTAAGGAGCAGACCCTCTGCCTGGTGTGAGGTCCAGCTCTGCCACTAATTATTGAACCTCAGTCTCCACAGCTGCTAAAGGGGACCACAATGGAGCCTACTTCCTAGAGCTGTTCTGAAGCTGAGATGGCCATGCTTACAGCCGTGTGGCACTTACGCGTGTTTGCTTTGGTTCAACAGCTCCCGGGAGGGCTCTGCTGTGCCAGTGCTGTCAGCCTCTGCAGGGAGGCCTGGCAGGCACACGAGGAGGAGGAGGAGAAGGGCTTGAAGGCCACAGGGAGGAATTTGGATGCATTCAACATATGGACTTGGGTCCAAAATACCCCCTGTTTGCAATGCTGCTTCTCCCAGAAAGAGCCAAGGGCAGGCACAGCGCACATTGGAGGGGCTGGCTTTGCTGCTCCCTCCCAGGTTTCAGGCCTCACGGACAGGCACTGAATCCCAGCTGCCCTTGGCAGGGTCACGATGAGCCAACTCTGCTCCCCTGGTGAGATCCGGTTCCAGAGCTGGCCTAGGCTGGCTGGCTGGTGGGTGAAGGCTGCTTTGACTCACATCTCTGGCAGGGACCACACGTGGGGGCCTACCATTTGACCTATCCGAGGGGCTCAGAAAATCTCTCAAATTATCTCCTGTTGGCAGCTTAGTCTACCCGCCCTGTCTGGGTGCAAGGTCTGTGCATCTCCAGCCTCCCCAGCTACCAGTGTGGGCCCTCAGAGCCCAAGGATACCCCTCAAGGACTGGGGTGGTGCCAACACCACTGAGCTTTGAGCACTTCTCAACTCCGAACTCAGACAGCCACCAGGACCACAGGATTACATGGCCAGACTCTCACATCCCCCCATCCCTGAAAACTTTTGCTCTGTTTGTTGTCATCTTGGAAATGGTACTTCCATTCCTTTGGATGCTGAGGCCCACACCTAGGCATCATCTGTGACTCCTTCCTTTCCATCACACTCCTTGCAGTCCATGAGCAATCTTGGCAGGCTCTAACCTTCAGCAAAAACCCAGAATCTGGCCACCTCTTGCCGCCTCCCCTCCGGCCACCTTGGGCCATGCCACCGTCAGCTGGGACTGCATTATTGCAGGAGCTTCCCCACCTTCCCGATGCAGATTAGCTCATTACACTCTCTCCTCAAACCCACTGAAGCTTCTTCCCGCTGCATCCTGCACAGCTTCAGGGCAACCTGGCCTTGGTGGCCCCTGAACCATCTACCACCGCCTTGCCTGCAGTCTCTGTCCTTAGTCACTCTGAGTGCCCTGCTGCTCCCTGAACAGGCCACTTCCATGCCCACGTCCATGCCATTGCACTGCTGTTCTCCCTAGCTGTCATGCTGTCCTGGACATTCACACAGCTGTCCCTCTGATTCATCACACTCAGGGATTTGCCAAGCATCACGCTCCATTCATGGATCCGTAGCACTCACCACCTCCTGCCTTTCCATCAGGGATGCACGTCTATGGTTTGCTTCCCCTTTAGAACCGCACTCCATGAGGCTGGGGTCCAGCTGCCTTATTCCTGCTGATTAGTCACTAGGGCCAAGAACAGTGCAAGGACAAGGTCCCAGGTGCTCATGGGATAGTCACTGAATAAATGCATGACCGAGGATGACCCATGAAGGGGAAGGCTTCTCAAACCGAGCATGGCAGAGGGCCATCCTGGCCCTGTTCCTGGAGTGGCTTATGCAGGGCTGGCTGGCAATCTGAGCCCGGCAATTGTTCTGAAGCCCCATCCCACACATCTGACCTGTGCTAAGTGCTTGCCAAACTGGTCCTCCAGAGGTTCTCAGCCCTCAGTTCACAGTGCCCTGAGGGTCTCACTTTTGAGCCATAAGAAACACCCAACGGTTCTATTCATTAAATGGTTAGGTCCAAGCAACTCAATATGTATTTATGCCCCATTGGAAGAATAATATTTATAAATTAAAAGGAAAATAATATTGTTCTTTCATTTGTAAATAGCTACCGCGACTTTCTAATGGGATGTGTGCCCGATGGGCTCTGCATGGCTTCTGTGACCTGGGAATCATACTGGATACCACCAGCCTCATTTATGTTAAATGTGGATTTTTGTGTGGTGCTTGCAAAATGCAGCAAAATTCAACTTTACAAAAATATGACATAGTTGAAAGGGGTGCAGCCTGATCCCATGTTAGAGCTGTGAGCTGCCTCTAGCTAGCAGCTTGCATGGCATCTGACAGATGTGGCTGGGTTTCCTTTGACTTCAAATGTTTAAAATCCACCTGCAGTGCCCCTGTGAGTTCTTAGGGTGCTTTGGCACATAGTTTGGGGATTGTGGGATTATTTTATTAATCCCCATAATGATTCTGTGAGGTAGGTATCATTCCATTTTACAGAAGTAGAAGTTAAGACTCAGAGAAGCCAAGATATTGGCCTAAGGCCACACAGCTGACTGGTGAAGGAATTGGGACTGCCCAGGCTTCTTTGATGCTATGATAATCCCTTGGACTACCAACTGGATCTCTTGAGTTGTGCATCTTTGGGGTCCTGAGCATTTGTCGCTTCTCCCTTTAGTGCCCAGAACCAAACAATATCAATCAGCACTCTGCCCCCACCCCGAGTCCTGGGGGACAGAACGTGGACAGTGACGGATGCCTGTTGTTTTCCCTCCTTCCAGGGGGCCCGCTGTGCTCTTGCTGCGTCCCAGACCCCATGGGGCTCTCCTTTCTCCCCACCTACGGCTGCCAGAGTAACCGCACGGCCAGCGTGGCCGCCCTGCGCATGAAGGCTCGCGAGCACTCGGAGGCCGTCCTGCAGTCAGCCAACCTCCTGCCATCCGCCAGCGGCAGCCCCAGCCCTGTGGCCAAGCCGGCGCCCCCCGATGGCAGCCAGGACAAGACCCCTTCTGCCAAGGAACAGAGCGAGGGGGAGAAGAGTGTATGAGGTCCACAGTGCCCAAGCCCGGCGCCCATCCCCGCCCCCTGCTTCTCCCAGCCTTAGCCCTGTGGAAAACTCAAGAGAGCAAGGAGAAGCCTGCTGCCCTAGAGCTTCCTCTGGGACAGGAAGAGAGAGAGACCCACAGCTCCCTTGGTGTCTGGAGAGTGCCTCTGGAGTCCCACCAGCGGGCCTGTGTTGTCCTGGCTTCTTTGGTGACAGGTCCTGATGGTACTGGTGACACCAGAGCTGACTCTGCGGTGAGACCTGTGGGGTTTCTCTCTGGGCCCAGAAGTCTCGGAGGGAAGTAGAGTCATTCACCCTGTCACCTTCCTGTCCCTGGGTTGCCTTTGAAGATCTTCTCAACCCATAGGACTGTGGTATGATTCACCCTTGAGAGACACCCAGAGTTAAGTCTTGTGCTATGAAATGGAGCTATCCCCATTACACTGAGAACCAGGAAACTGGTGTAATTTCAACCAACTCTTGTCCCCTCCATCAAGTCTAACAGCTATGCCCTCCTTTCTCTTGTTGGAAGATACTGGCTGTGAGCTTGGGTGGGTTAGGAGGTGAGAGGATGTAGGGTGGGGAGCGGCTGACAAGACACAGCCTGTCCCAGGGGTACATGGTAGCTCTGTTCCAAGCAGTTCTGACTTGGCACTTCTGGCCAGACAGGCCGTCAGCTCCCAGCTCCATGAATTGGGGCTGCCATCTTGACACTGCCAACATGGAGGAAGTGTGGGCCCTCACAGCTGAAGTGCCAACCTGCAAGCCCTGCTTCTCTGACTAGACCTCTAGGTTGATGGGAAGTTAGCAACTGGAAAGCAACACTTTGGTCCAGGGAATGCTGAGGGCCCTTAGAGGAAGAAGAACCCCCCAGGAATACCTCTGAAATAAGTACGCGTTTGGATGGACCATTTTTCCTCAGTTCTCTGGCACATGGAGGGAGCTCTCCAGCTGTGGTTTTTTTTTAACTGAAGAAAAAAAAAAGTGGGAAACAAGACGAGAATGGCATATATGCAGAAATGCAGCATGGGAAGAGCACTTCCTTGTGGTGTGAAGAGCGTTAATTCCAAAGGGCCAAATTTCATAGAGATTTCATTTTTGGTCTAGTGTGTCTGTTTTCTCTCATGTGGGTAGTAAACTTGAAGAGATCAAAGGGAAACGTGCAATAGCATGAGCTTTGTCCTTCTGGGTGGGGTTTCTGGTGCCTGAAAGATGGCAGTCTTTGATGGCTTACTGTTGGTGTTTCCATGCAAACCCTTACGGCTTTTATGATGATTATTTTCCTTTCAGTTATCATAATCAAAAGGTTCTACCTTCAGATCACCCTGCTTCCTTTTTACCCTCCCTGTAAAGACCCCCAAATAATACTCCTAAGTGTATTGTGCCTCGTCTCTGATTACCACAAAGCATTTGATAAAATACACTGTCTCCTTAAAAAAAAAAAAATCAAACCCTTCTTCCTGATGTATCTTGCTTGTTGAGTACCAAGATGAAACGATTTGCCAAAAAGCAGCAAAGTCGCTTCCGTTTCCCTGTAATTACGAATGTTGGGTCGAACGATGTAAGCTCAAGCCCTTATGTACACTAACTCTTCAATCTAATTGTTTGATTAAACTCGTATTTCCTCCAGAAAGGTACATAAATAAGTGAACTGTTGAGCAAATTAAGAATACTTAACAGCATTGCATCTGAAAAGTAGTTACGCTGATTAAATTTTGTGTCCTTGAGGACTTTCAGGAAATTACTTTTGATCGTCAATAACACAATTAAGTAAACTACACACACATTAGCATGAATAATTGATAAGAAATTATGTATTACCACGAAGCACTGATTTAATAATTCATGATGAGACACTCTAGTGACTGTGCAAAACTGGATAACATCGAAAAGTCTGCCTGATGTTACTGAAAAGAAAAGAAAAAAAATAAGCACCAAACCTCTGCAGAGATATTGAGTACTTAGTTTTGTTGTACAAAGGCAAAAAGTATCAATGCATGCTGTCATTTCTGTTTGTTTACGTACCTGAATAAATTTAGAAGAGACAAGAAGAGCTCAGGCCCTGTCTCTGTTCCTCCTGGCCCTGGGGCTGCAGGCCTCCACTTGGCCAGCACGCAAATGGAAATCTATCCAGAGCATCCAGGAGTCAGGGCTTTGAGGCCTTGCCCCGGAAACCTTTGAGCAGATGATGTGCAGGCCAGAAGCTCCCCCAGGAGCTGGCACCTGCAGAAGTCAGCACCCCTGTCCTGGGACAGACAGGCAGATGGATGGGCACGGCCTCGCTGGAGCATCTTTGGGACTGTCCTGGGTGAAGTCCCCTTTCTGGCAGGGAGAGTGGCTGTCGATGGAGCTCCTATAGGCTGTACTATCTGAGTCTGCAGAAGTTGGTAATGTGACTATAAAAGGCAGCCGGGCTTCAGTCTGAGAGGAAGGTGCAGGCCCCAGGGATCGGCTGATTGATTATTATTATTCATCTATTAGTTGAAACCCTCTGAAGAGCTTTCCTTGATCTTTAATGCACTCTAGGTTATGGGAAAGGAGCCTGAATCCATGACTGGGCAGTAGCCCAGCCTTGTTGGGGATGACAGCCTGCTGGGATGGGGAGCAACAGTGGGGGAAGCATGAAGTTGGGGGTGTGGGTGGCCCTGGCATAAGACACTAGGGGCTCAGAGGCGTCCTTCTCCATCAGTTGGCGCTTTATTTTGGAATACCCAGTGCCCAGCCTCTCAATTGGTTAGAAGGATCTCCCTTAATAAATAATCCCCATTTATTAAGACTGCCATTATCTCATTGCCTGGGAACTTTACAGAGGATAGCTCATTTAATCCCAATGGTCAAGCTGCAGGGTAAGTATTATTGTTCCTATTTCATAGCTGGAAGACTGAGGCATAGTAAGGTTGGATGACTCCTCCAAAGCTACATGGCTGGTAGCCTCTGATGGGAAGAGGGAGAGCTCAGCCTTATGGCATGTCACACAGGGAGTGCTAAATAAATGAATTAGTGAGTAACTTTACTCAATGTTCACGGCTCAAGAGGCCAATGGAGGCATAATGAGAGCCACTTTGCTCTGGGGACTCTGTCCTGGGTGGGCCTGTGGGAGGGGAGGACATGCCTCCCCAGCGGCTCTCTCTCCTGGGTCCAGGCTGGCAGGGGAAGAGCTCAGTCTGACCCCATTTGATCTGTCCCTGGGCCAGCACACACCTGGCCTTCACATCCATGTCAGCCTAAGAGCAGGCCCAGCAAGGATCCCAATGTGGATGGTGCCCAGACCCCCTGCACTCCTCAAATGGCTTTCCCAGCAAGAGGGGCGCCAAGAAGAGCCCAAACACTCCACCTCATGGAAATTCTCTCTTCTTAATTGTCTGGCTTCACCAACAAAAGTGAAACTTTTATGAATTCAGAACCTGACTGAAGCGGTTGAGAGCATATTCTGCCTGTTGAAGATCCCAGCTTTTACTGGCTTTGTGACTCTGGGCAAGTCACTTAACCTCTCTGTGCTTTGGTTCTCTCTGAGGTAAAATGGGGACAATAATGGTACCAGCTTCATAGATGTCTTTGGAGGTTATGTGAACCAATTGCTAAACAATATCTGGCATGGCAGAAGTGGAGTCTAAATGCTAGCTCTTGTTGTACCTAGCCTCACGCACATCAAGGGCTTGAAGACCTTTTCCAGGTGAAAACCTCATCTTCCCAAGGAGGAAACAGTGGGTTCGCCCTCAGAGCCTGCAGACCCGCCATCTTCTAGAAGCCATGCCCTCCCACAGCCCACATAATCTGCTCAGGGAGTGGGTGTGGCAATCCTCAGTGAGTCTGCAGGCTCGTTCATGGTCAAGAGCCTGGCATCTTGCCAGCTGGGTCTTGGAACATGAGAGCTTGGATGGGAACCTGCGGTGCTGGGGGAGGCAGGTGTAGAGGTGGGGTGGGGGCGGGAAAAAGGAATGTCTTAGTAAAGGCTCTTTTAGTTGCCAGTAATGGGAATCACTGAAGCCAGTTTAAGTCAACAAGTGACTTTGTGAGATGGATATGAAATGCCATGGAACGCAGTATGGCTGGGCCCCTTGCTGTGGGACTCTAGTGGGACAGGCACTAAGGCCCAGGGATGGTTGGACCCTGCCTTCTTTCTGCTTCTGCCTGGGTATGTACTTGGCTTTTGCTCTGCTGCTCTGTCCCCTGTGCTTATCCCTCACAGAGCGCCTCACTCAGGTTTTCCCCAGGCAGAGGTTCACTGTGGCTTTGGAGCCCCTGCTAGACGCCTGGGAGAGTGAATCTGCTTGGCCCAGCATGGGCCAGGTGTCCGCCTCGGCTCCATCAGGTGTGGCCAGCTGTGGCTGCTCCAGCCCTGCCCTGGGGAGGGGATGCTGTTCTCAGGCAGGGGCGTGTGATCTGGGCAGGCATGGGAAGTATGCCCACTCCTGGGAGGCCACACACACTAGAGGCAAAGAAGGGCACAGACGTGGACAAACCCACTCCTGCTAAGGCAATTAAATCCAAGGATGATATTTATGTTCCCAGAGAAAGAGGCTGTAAGGGACTTATAATATCCATTTTTTATAAATTTGAATACAGCTCCATTTCTAGGCCCTACTCTTACAGAGTTAGCCAGGCTTCAGAGAATCCAACAGTTGGTGGTTTTCTCTCCAGGACTTGGCCAAGCTCTGTGCTCTGTACAAACACATGGGGATGTGCCCAGGCACTGCATCCAGGAAGCTCATAGATCTTGGGGTGTGGAATACCCAAGGTATCCCCTTGAGCGGTCTTCAGCTCCCTGCCCATGTCTAGAACCACTACCAATGACAACAAAGCTCTCGGTTCTGAATTTGGACCCTCATTGTTCCAGCACCACAGCCGGCTGTCCGAGGGCACAGTGCTTGGCTGGCAGGCCCCAGGGGCCTGCAGTCTTTTGTGTCCTAGAGCCAGCGACAGCATCCTTTCTCCAGCATGTTCTCCTGGCCAAGCCAGGCCCATATGCTCCTTCAGTGTTATGGCAGGAGGCAGGGTGATGAGTTTGCATAAGCCAGGATTCTTCCTGTAACCTATCAGGAAGAGTGTTTTAGAGAAGGGGGCTGCCCCTGTCTGAATGTGGGCTTTTTAATCTACTTCTTTCTGAGCCATCTCAAGGCAAGGCAAAGCAAGGCATCTTGATGGAGAGCAGCACTGGCTGGCTATCCTAGCGCATCTAGGGTCTTCTCTTTGCACTCTGTTGGATGGGCCTGCGGAGACCGGGCCTTGAGGTTTGAGACTTCGCTTGCTGCTGCTCTCTGCCATCTGCTCTCAGGCCTCTGAGCTAGGAGGACGGCCCCTGCTGGGCTCATCTGCTTCTTTTCCAAGCCCAGCTGTGTGCAGGAGATGGGCCGTTGCTCCCTAGTGCTCTTCTTTGGGACTTGGGCACTGCCCCCTCCCACTTGCCCCTGGTTCCCCCCAACTCTGCAGGATATATCCTAGTTCCAGTGCTGGGGCAGGGACCTGGGCACATTGTCAGACCATGCTGAGGCTGCAGCTGCAGAGTACTGGCCTGGAGCAGCTGGGTGCCCCAGATGTCACAGCAACCTCTGTCTTGAGATGCCTGTGCCGCTGGCGGGAAAAGGAGGGTTGCCAGCTGTTGGATGGCTTCGAATCCCTGCCTGGAGCACACGGGTGGGAGGGTGCTCCTCCAGCTTGAGCAAAGGGTCCAGAGAGCGCAGGAGGTGTAGGATACAATGACCCAAGCTGGAGGCACGCAAGGTCAAGGGCTGCCTGGGCTCTGCCAATAGGGCAGGTGCTCCTGGAGACGAGGCTGCAGTCTCTGGCTGCCTCATGCCTTTGCTCAGCAGATAGATGCAACCCTGGCCCTTCCCCTGGCCTGGAGTCCCTGCTTGGAGGCTGTTTGAGCTTCCTATACATGGTAACCTCCCATCAGGATCACAGCAGTGTGGGGAGGCAAAGCACTGCAGGTCTGGGAATCAGAGGCCTGAGGTCAACCTCTGCTTTGACATGATTAGCCCTGTGACCTTGGGAAAGCTACTTATCCCCTCTGTGCCTCATTTCTTTATCTGTATAGTGGAAATAATAATCCTAATTTTGACTCCACAGGGCTGTTGTGAGGATCCAGGGAGATGAAGCGTGCGAAGGCAGTTTATGAACAACTCACAGGAGAACAAGGTCATGGGCAACACGTTGAAACAGTGCTGTCTGAGGTTGCCTTCTGCTGCAGCAACTAGGCCAGCAAAATGCAGCCTGAGGGGCGGAGATGAAGCGGTGGCCAGGAAGTGAAAGCTCATGGACCCTCCCCAGGGCTTTGCAGGCCTCCAGGCCTCTCCCCCTCCAAGGTCTGTACGGGGCAGCGCGAGGGGCTAAGTGATTGTGTAATGGCCACATCTGTCAGCACTGGCCAAATGGTTTTTCCAGGAGTCAGCGAGCTAATGGCCCTGCAGCCAGCCGGGAGAGAGCTTCTCCTAAATGGAGCACTTTATTTACCCGGGAACATAAGAGCAGCGTGGCCCCAGGCCACGGGGACTCAGAGAACAGCTGCTCTGCCCACAGCCTTGAATTAGCGCCCTGTCCCCATTGGCTTGCCTTCCACCTGCTGCCAGAGGCCAGTCTGTTGGTGGCAGCTGAGGTGGCTGGTAGGGAATATGGGAGCCCGGCTGGGGGTGTCACCAGACCTGGCCTTGAATCCAGGACCCCGTACCACCCATTGGCTGTGGGACCTTGATAAGTCCCTTGCCCTCACCAAGCCTCAGTTTTCTCATCTGTAAAACAGAGGCAGTAAGAATTAGGTGAGAAGAGACAATGCGGGGCAGTGTGCCCCCACACGGCAGCTATTGCTGTAGAGGGCCGTGAGCTCTCCCAGGTGATGGTGATGATGAAGAGGCTCAGACTGCTGAGGGAGAAGCCCCATTGGAAGAAGGCGTGCAACACTGTGATGAGCCTGGACACCGAGTGTACGATGCAGACAGGCCTTGTGTTCACCTGGTGCACCTGGGAAAGTGGGAAAGCCCTGTGCACAGAGGTCCAATTGCAACTGTGCCA